TTCTGCTTTCTTGCTACTAGCTATGTATTATTTCTTTGTCTATTATAAGTAGTGGGTCTTCATCTTTTCTGATAAATCTTAATAGTGAACCTTGAACTTCTTCTCTGTAACTTTATTTTTTACAACTTTTTAGTTCTTCTATATGATCAAGACTACATCTTTTACATTTTTTAAGAACTTGGTTTGTTTTGCTTTTGACTAATTTGATCTCTCAGTGTTTTGTAAGTACTTTTTTTAGTGTCATAACTACTTTTCTTATTGACAAGTTATTGTTTTTTTTTTCTTTTAATGATTTTAGCACTATTTATTTTCTTTTTCTGTTGTCTTTTGAGCAACTATTAAGTAGTATTTAGAGTGCTTTTTTGTTTTCATTTAGTAATATATATTCAGGTTTTAATTGACTATTATTCTTGTCTTCTAATATTATTTTTTCAATTTTTTTAAACCAGCTGGCTATTCTACCTTTGCTCAATTTTCTTCTTAATAATTTAAGTTAATGCCAAGAGATCATTTTGTCTTCTGCTTTGTTAATAAGCTAATTTATTGAAGTTATGTTAAGTTTTTTTAGTGCTAAAGCTTCCTGAAGAATAAGTTTGTTTTCTAGTACTTCTGCAATTCTTAATTCTTCATTTTTCTTCTCAATGTTTATATTATTAAAATAGATAATATTTGCAAGTTCTTTGCTTTTAACATTGATTAATATATTAAATTATTTTTCTATAAATTGCTACATGCTTTTGGTGTGATTTTATGCCAATTCTTCTCTATTGTGCCTATGAGCAAAAGGTCTTGGTTTACTTTGATTTTTGTAAGTATCTTTTTTGGCCCAGTTAAATTAAGTTTTGCATGTAAACCTGTAATTTGTTTTGTTACTAGTTGATTTTAAAGTGCATTGCAGTTGTCTATATTTCTATGTATGATTATGCTATTGCTTACTGTTTTTGTGATTCCTAGTTTGTGCTTAGCTAAACCTATTATTGAACTTTGAATAGCTTTTATTATTCTTTTAGACAATTTTGTTATTTGGAGAATATAAGTTAACTTTGGCACTATATATATGTTGTTTATATATAATACTTATATGCCTGTTATTTTTTTGGTATTTAAAAGCCTTGTTGTTAAACATACTAATTCTTTTACTCTTGACTTGATTTAGTTTTCATTAAGTTTGCTATTAAGCAAAATTCCTAAAAATTTTGTGATTTTAGTCTTTACTTCTTTGTATATCTATTCATTACTAAGTTTTATCTTTCTATTTTCTTTAGATTCACTAGAATTTGTAATTATTAGCTTTGATTTTTTTCTATTTATTTGAATATCATTTAGTTCAAAAATGTCTCATTTGCTCTCAACTACTTGTTATTTATATTGTATCATCTGCAAAAGTTACTACTGCTTGTCTCTAGCTTGTCTTTGTTGAATAGTTTAAGCTATTATTGTATGAATTCGAGACCTCTATCCTTTAGTCTAAGTTTGGGTCTTTTTGGATTCTCTTGAGCAAAGGATCATAAAAAATTCTCTATACTAAAGGTAAAAGCCCTCACTCTGCTCTATTTCATTATTTATTACAAATGCTTCTGTATAACTCCAGTATATAATTATTTTGAATTGTTTGTCTTAAAAAAGATTCAGAATTATTTTAATTGTTATTTCTAGAATTTAATTCTTTTCAAAGCTGGCTTTAAGGCTGTTAATGATACTGAATCAAAAGCCTTTTTCATGTTTTGTAAGACTAATCAAAGCTTCTTATTGTTTTTTTTTGCATTTTCTATTGACATGTTTATAATATACACTGGCTCTTTTGTTAAATTTCCTGGCAGTTCTGCAAAGTTTGGACCTTTAAGAATATTTTTTTGACAAAATATTCTGACAACTAGTAATTCAAATTGGTTAAAATTTTTACTGTAAATAGTATATACATTTAATTATATTATACTAAAGTTTTAACTAATTTGGATTGATAGTTTTTGAGAAATTGCTTGCAAACTATAATTAATTTTTTTAAAAAAATTAATTATCATTTACAAGCAATTTCTCAAAAACTATTAATCTAAATTGATTAAAATTTTAGAATAATATAGTTGAATATATATACTATTTATAGTAAAAATTTTAACCAATTTGAATTACTAGGTATTGAGAAAACTAAATTCAAAAGTTAAGAAAATTTAATAAAATTTTGTTATATATTATTATTAATTACTAATGATAATACTTAGCAGAGGTGCTATATATTATTAGTAATCTAGAGATTACTAATAATATATATTACTTTTAAAATTTTTTGATAAAAAACTCTACAGATTCAAATAATTTTATAATCTTTACTAAAAAGCAATTAATAGCAACTAACAATAGAAAGCTATTTAAATACTTAAAAACATAGTTCTTAACTAACAAAAGACCAATATTAGTACAAAAAAAATAATTGCTAAAGTTGTAATTAACTTAAAAAAGCCACAATTTGCTAATATAATAAAAAAACAAGCAATTTATATTATAAACAGTATTATTATTTTATAACTTTTTTATTGACTCTACTCTTTATTTCTTACCTTAGCTCAAACTCTTTTAACAAAATATATACTTAACTAGTGAAGCATAATGCAAAACTGATACAAGAGATCTCAACTTCTTCTTATATAATTTAGACATCTATGTATTAACAGACATAGCTTAAGCACAACTTTTAGCACTAGTCTTAATACTTCAAAAAAACCTAAACCATTTCAATTTGATTTCTCTTTTTTGAAACTACATCTATAACATTTACAAGATATTGCATTTACTAATATCTCTATTCTACTACAACCTTTAATTTTTTTAATAACTTAAACAAATATACAAACTGACCAAATGGTAATAGTATTACATATACTGAATATGCAAATCTCAAGAAACAGTGATGACTGGCTACATTCTAAATAATTCATTTGCATTTCTATAAACTAAATGCTAATGCAATGTCTTAGAGCCTTTTACCTTAAAAAAAAATTAAATAAACATAACATCTATTGCATTAAGCAATTTTTAAATGCTACTAATACAGAACTCTTCATATAAAATTACTTTTATTACAATATCAAAATACCAAGAAACCAATGTTTCTATTGGTTTTATATAATACAAAAGATTTAATAACTACATCTACAAACTCATCATTAATATTTTCATATTGTAATCAATATACTTTGGCAAATTGGACTCTTACTAAAAAAGACTAGATAATTACAAATAATTTAACTTTTGGAAGAATTTATAATTCTTTCAATAAGAATCTCAAAACCTGATATTACATATTACTATCTGACAATATACTAGTTGCCTGCAAAGAATACAACTTAAACAATACATTATACTATACTAAATATTGCTATTTTAATACAACTAAACCAATTTACAACCTTCAAATAAACTGCAAAAGAAGAATTCATATTAACTTAAAAGACTTTAAAAAAGCTCTAATATTTTAATCTTATCAGCAATGCTATAAATTCATGATTAAATAGTGCACTTAAATCTGGCTTGTTCTTTATATGTTTTTATAAACCTATTAACATTATTTTGGAATAATCTTGTTAAGGCTAACTTTAATACAAAAGCTACAATATTCTATATAACAAGTGAACAACAAAATATAGAAAATAACTCTTAAATAGTAGCAAAATATTACTCTTAATACTTTTATTTAACTTTAAATATTTTAATAACTTTTGGCCATCTCATCTAAATATACTAATAACTACCATAGTGCACTGACCAAAGTACCCCAGGTCTAATGCAATCTAACCAAAAAAAACTTATAAAATACCTGTAAGTCTCTTGATCAGTGACAGATATCTTGCATAGAGTAATCTTTTGCTAAAGGGGTATTTTATAGGGTCTACTAATTCCCTCCAAGTTACTATTGGCTATGAGTAAATTGCATTTCTAATTGGATAAAATCAACAATCTTTAATAATGTGATTCATCTATAGTGAATTAGAGAACAAGATTAGATATAACATAAAAATTAAAAAACTAATCACTTGTTTTTGAAAAGACTCATTTATCTCAAAATTTTGTCTAAGAAATCACCTTTTGCATACTAACCAAAAAAATTCTTTGCAAGATTTTTGCTATAAAATTGGCTATCAATTCTGACATCAAACTTAACTTTTTACAGATAACATGACATGTAATTTAGTGCAAATAATTCATACTAATAGGAACTTGAGAGAAAAATTAGTAAAGCTTATTTTATGTGGGAGGTATTATACACAACACATTTTAAGTAATACAAGCCAATATAAAAGAAAATCAATGAACTTTACATATATATATACATACATATATCTTCTTTAAATTTCTTTAACTACTGAAACAAGGTAATGAAATATCACTGCTAGCTTGTAATCCTTGGGTCCAAATTAAAAAATAAAAATAAAATAAAAAAAATATATAAAAAAAAATAAAATAAAAATAAAAAAACTACTAAAACTAAAATATTTTTGCAGAAAAAGCAACATATTAGCAGAGGCTCTTTGCAGTAACTCTACTATCAGCAATTACCAATGAACTAAGACCAACTCAACAACTGTACCAACACAAACCAGGGTTGGCCATTTTAGATCATATCAAACTTTATATGACCAAGATGGTCATAACGTATTAGTAAATTTTATAAGTTATAACAGGTCATAAGGTCATAATCGACAATTTGTCAATAAGTTATAACAGGTCATATTCCAATACTGACACAAACTACTATATATATAAGAAATAGAATGGCCCATGAAAACTTTAAAGCTTAATGTGCTTAAGTAACAAAAAAGAATAAAAGAGTATGGTCAGCATGTGAAAAACTAATAATAATTGCCTACTATAAAAAAGGGCATAGTAAACATTTGACTGCTAATAAATTTGGGATAGAAAGAAAGCAGCTTTGGGAATAAATAAGCAAAAAATCTGACCTTCTTAAAGTTGCACCTTATGTTCAAAAGTTGTTATCTGGGACCTAGCCAAAATATTCTGAATTTGAAGCTGAATTAATTGAATGGTTTCGAGAAGCTCAATCTCAGCAAAAAACTGTAAGCCAGTATATAATTCAAGCCAAAGCTCGCACATTATATGCTACATCTCATTATCAAGAAAAATATGGAGAAATACAAAATAACAAATTTTTACAAAAATGAAGGTAGACAGATTTATGTCTAGAAATAATTTGGTAAATTGAAAACAGACTACCATTGCTCAACATCTTCATAAGAGCTATATTAAAGATCAAAATGAGTTTTTGTCTTTTGTACTTTTTAAGTAGTGTAAACATGACTATTCTTTATCTTTAATCAGTAATATAAATAAAACTGCTATGTCTTTTAGTATGTTAAGTAAAACCATAATTAAAGAATGAGGCACTAAAACTATATTAATTCTATTAACTGAGCATGAACATTCGAATTTTACTGTTGTTCTTGTCTGTATAGCCAATGGTACTAAATTACCACCTCTAATTATTTTTAAATTAGTTAAAGTACCTCATGAAAATTTTCCTAATAATGTTATCATATGTGCAAACCCTTCAGAATAGATGAATGAAAATGAAATAGTATAGTAGATATAAAAACTAGATGATTATAATGCATGTTATAGTTGAGACTAAAATTTATTTAATTTTAGGTAGGTAGAAAATATTTGGACCCAATGAGCACAATATAGAAATAATCCATGTTCTTTGTTAATTTTGGATTCGTTTGCTAGCCACAAAATAGACTCTGTAAAATGGTGTTTTTTGAAGAAGAATACTAACTTGGCTTTAATTTCCAAAGGTTTAACATCTCACTTACAACCTCTTGATGTTTCTATAAATAAATCATTTAAATCAAAGGTAAAATCTAATAAATAGAAAAGTAAAAAAAAATTATTAAATTGAAATTTTTCTATTTTTTTTTAATAGATGCGAAATCTTTATAATCGATGGATGGATGAAGGAATCAAAGAATACACTAAGGCTGACAAAATAAAACATTTTTCATATCTTTTGGTTGCTACTTGGGTAAAAGAGGCTTGGGAAGCCATCAATATTAACATGATCAGGAAGTCTTTTAAATGTTGTGGAATCTCTAATATGATAGATAGAACCAAAGATGATTTAATTTTAGACTTTACAAGACTTACAGCCTGAATAAATTCAGGAAAAGGAATTGAAGAATAAAATGATGATGAAAATGATGGTAATAATAAAAATAATGGTAATAGTAAAAATGATAGTGATAGTAAAAATAATGGTGAATATATAGATGAAAAAAATATGAATGAAAATGAAAGTTGGTTAGTTTATAATAGTTTTTATAAAGAAAGCAAAGAATTAACAACCATTCAAGATTGAAATTAATGAAATAAAAATTCAGAAATTTTAATATAGAATTGTAAGCCAATGAAAAAAAAATACAATCTTTGCTTAAATAATTAAATTAAATAAAATCAATTTTGTATCTTGCTATGCTTATATAATTTAATAAATTTATTTTAAGGTAATAGAGTGGTGGCAAAAAAAATTTGTGATAATGCAATTGCTAACTATTTCCAACATAGTAAAACAAATTATGTATAAATTGCATACTATGTTAAAAAAATTATTAGTCAGCATAATACATAATTTGAATTATTAGGTCAAAAATGGCCAGTGATTACATTACTATAAATTTTTTCTGCCACCACTTTGTTACCTGTTATATGATATTTTCAAACTGCATTTATTATAAAATTTACACAAGATTTATAAGCTATTCCTTCTATAGGAAGTGTTATAATATCAATTACTGATACTTTCGCATTTTCTGGTTGTTTATGCTATTAAGAGTTATTAAAATTCGAAATTGTCAAACTGTTCATTTACAAAAATTGGGTTATAAGTGCAAGAAGTTATTAAATATTTAATAATAGTATTTACAGTATTTGGTAAAGTTATCATAATATGTATTGTGCAATATAAAATATCCAGGTCTTGTACAAAAATCCTGCCTCAATAATTATAAAATACCCAGATATTATTCTTGGCAAAAAAAAAAGTGCTATGCAAAATACCCAGGTACTTCACATGGAGGGTATGAAAAAAGAAGGGTACTTTGGTCAGTGCACTATGGTATATTAAACTTTATACTTACTATACTAAGCTTCTACATTTTAATAAAAATATATACTAAAAATTTTTTTTTTGTTAATTTTATTAACTTTATATTTTCTATCCAACTATATAACTATTCAACATTAGACAAACAACAACACACCTTTCTTTTTTTAATACTAAAAGCTTTGTCATATGATCATGCAATTACATTAATCTTTGACAAAGACCTTTAAATCCAAGAAACTCCAAGTATTAACTTTCTAATAAACTCTGTATTTCAAAAGTTTCTATATAATCATTTTGTCTTAAAATGTTTTGAAAATTCTTGCATCTATCTAATAAAAACTATACTAAAACAAGTATATCAAATTACAAACTATCTGACATAGTTCAATCAACAAATCTCACTCTAGCATACTTCTTAAAATAATATTAATTGGTTACTAACTCTATAATACATATTATACAAAGAAAACCTTTAGTATTAATAACAGATCCAACTTTTTTAGTACTAAAAAACTTTAAAATTAAATTAATATTTGAAAAGCTACCTACTTACTTCCTTTTTTATTAGAAAAATACTACAAAATATCCAAATCACTTTTGCTTAAGATGTTATATTGGCTTGTAAACTATTATACATCTTTTAACATGTTTTTAAAACAATCTGGATCTTGCAATATTAATAAAATATACAGTACTCAAAACTGCAAACAAACTAGAAATATACTGCTATAATACAAAAAAATTTATTTAAGTCTTTACTTATAATAATATCAACAAACAAATACTATTAGGAATAATAACTAATAATACTTTGGCACTATTTGAAAACAACAAACATAAATATAAATATGTTTCTCTTATTTATTATAACATTATTTCTGTAATATATAAAAAAATCTGGCTTATTTCTAAAGCAATACAATATAGATCTGCTGTTCTAATTCCACTCCTAGTACAACTACCAACATTAGTCAAAATTATACCAATCTTATATATACTACTAAATAAAAAGATATAATACTATATTATATATGAACAATCTTTTTTTTATTAGCTAATCAAAGACTAGAGGTTTACTAACCATTTTAGCAAAGAATATTTGAGAGTAAAGTAGTTCTTATTTTATTTTTTCTAGTATAGTTTATTCTTTATATATCTTATATATATATATAATTAACTAATTAATAAAAGAGATAGAGGATAAACTTTTTTTTTTTAAAAAAAAAATAGTTATTTTTTGTAATAACTAACTACTAAAATGTTAGAGTATTAAATGCATCATATAGCATAATTAGCTAAACTAGCACTAGCAATATTACAACAACTATATATTCAAATCTAACCAAAATTAGTTTATTTAATTTTACATATCTATAGAATACAAAACAAAAAAAAATTATTAAGTTTAGCTTGATTATTTTTATAATATTGCTTGTGCTATTTTAAATGCTAAAAAAACTTAATAATTCTGAATATAGTCTAAAAGACTTTTTTATTATAATAACTTTTATGATTTTTAGAAATCCAAAATGTATTATTATAGACAGTTTATCAAAAATAATGCAATTAGTATATAAATTCTTCTTTTGCATTATATATGTCATAGTATAGATTTTTTTGTAAATATATACATATATAGGCTTATTAAATTAATTTTAAAAAATTTTGTTTAATCTAAAGCATTATTTTATATTAATACACTAATCATAATACATATCTCTTTGACTATCATATAGTTTGTATATTTGATGTGATATTAGTAACTCATTTACAAGATTTTTTTCAGCATATAGTTTTTGGCCAATTAGATTAAAAAATAAGATGTAATGTAAAATCAAAATATTCAAATTAAGTAAAAAATTTTAAAGTAATAAGCATTATTTTTAAAGCTAGATTAAGAATAAGAAAGATCATAACTTATACTAAAATTTTAGTTTTATAAGTAAAATGTTGAGTTAATAGTAATTTTTTAAAAAAAATATAATTTTCATATTATATTTAATCCTTCAATCTAATTGACTATAGGAGTTTCATATTAGATAACTATCAGATAATCAGTGTTAAATAATCTGCAATAACTGGCCTAAATTACTCTGTAAGCTTCATTATAACTTTAATTCTAAAACAAAGGTTATATTATTAGCCTAATAAATTTTATTAACCAATCATATTTCAAAATCAAATGTAACATAAAAAAAGTTCAAAAAACAAAAATAAGTTAAAAATTGTTTATAACTCAAAATTTTGCTTATGCAACTGCCTTTTATATACTAATAAAAAGATTTCTTGCAAAATTTTAATATAATTATAACTTTTTAAATTTAACTTATACTTATAGTAATATTCTAAATCTAACCTAAAAGTAAAATGTTTTTTTCTTAGCAAAATTTTTTAAACTGGCATTGCTAGTCTTATATAATTCTAATTCTAATCAGACATCATCTGATATTAAAACTAATAATATAGTAATACTAGTTAAAAAATTTTCACATATCATATAATCTTATTGCAAAACTAAGAAAAAAAAGTTCTCTAAGAAAAAATATTTTATTATTAGATTAGAATATTGCAAATAGGTCAGATTTAAAGTATTATAGTTATACAAAAATTTTATAAGAAAAACCTTTTATTAATATACAAAAAGCAGTTTTATCTAATACAAAAGTGTATTTGAGACACAACATATTGCTATATAGTACTAAGTATAAATCAAATCTATAAATAGTTTTATATAAAAATTTTTTTTTTTTTTTTTCCTTTGGCAGCCTTGCCGATCACCTTTATTAAGAGTCTTATATACATGCTTTGTACAAAG